GCAGCCGCTGCCGGCGCATCGCCCGGGGCTGCCCCCCGAACGACCACGAGTGCCGGCGCCAGCCGCAGCTCATGACGTTCAACTTCATGACGCTCGTGTCCAACATGAGCATCCCGGCCTCGGGCGCCCTGGACCTGTTCGTCATGCGCGGGGCCTTGACCGCCGACACCCACACCCTCTTCTCGCTCGACCTGGACAGCGCGCGCGCCCCCGTCGGCGTCCCCGCGGCCACCCGCGCCAACTTCAAGCTGTCTCAGGTATGTGCACCATGGGGTTTGAGGACGCCGCCGACGATGAGTTCCCCTTTTGGACAAGCCGTCGTTTATAGCCGTCGTTTGCATCGCGGTCGTCTCCCGTTCGGCAGGTCCGCGACAACCAGGCCGTCGTCGCGCTGGTGCGGCCGCTGGCCGGGCCCCAGGACGTGGAGTTGCGCCTCGTCATGGAGGTCTACAGCGGCAGCTTCCTCGCCGGCCTCAACGTGGCCAAGCTCTTCCTCTTCGTGTCGGAGCACCCGTACTGAACTCGGTCCAGTCACTCGTCTTGACGACTGACTATCCGCCGTTGCACGCGGGCACCACACGCTTTGGCGTGTGTCTTATGAATCTCACAAGCATTGATATGCACAAAGACTTCTTTTCTACAAAAAAATACGTGCAAAATAAAACAATAATTACTGTTAGAAAAGCCTTTGTTTTTTGTTGAACGAACGAACACGTAGCGCGCTGTTCGGAGTCCGCCATCAGATTTAAACGAAACAAAAGTACTAATAATCCAACGACGCGCAATTTGCTCTGCCATCCCATCCTCTCTGCCGCATCCGAGCTCCACCGCGCTCGCCGCGTGCGCGCGTCCTCAGGTGAGTCATGTCGGCCGGCTGCCGTAGAGGCCTTCCGTAGGCCACCGCCGGGCCCCGGCCGCGGGGACGAGATTTGTTGACTGGCCAAGAATGAGAGGCATGCAGGAGTCGTGCGCGCCCGCCCAACTGCACATGAGGACAGCAGTGTCCACGTATCTCCCCCCTCCCCCTCTCCCGTATGTCACGAGAGGCACATCAGACTTTAACGATGACTGCCAAAGGACCCAAGTGAGGTGGGGGGGGGGGGGGCTTTCGCTCCTCGCTAAGGTATGTCATACATTCTGTGCCACGCCGTCACACACAGAGACACTCGCACACTCGCACGGTATGGCGTGGCAGGCGTGGGCAGGTGTCCACGGTGTCCACTGCTTGCTCGCGCACTGCTACCGACATCCGGCAGCTGAATTGTAAACCAACACATCCACGCCCTCGCGTCGCCATGGTCACCGTGTGTTATGTCAAAACGCTCCTCGGCGGCCTTGATCGTACTCTACAAACGTGTAATATTGTATTATCCCACCATACCCTTACATGCCTAACACATTCCCACTCGCGTTATTATTTACTTCCAAAGTTGCCATTCATTTTATTCTGCATGCGAGAGCAGCCGTAGTGAACCTAAACACCATCATAAAAACCACGTCGATTTCACCTTTTTCAATTTCCGAAAGCTTACGTGATGTGATTTCACTCTGGACGACATTCTTCAACTTGCACTCAAGGTTTGTAACGACACGTTCAAACAGTAGCTGAACCGAGCTGAACGCGAGTATGACTTATCGCCGGTTGAGATACCGGCGCGGCGCGCACGCGTGCCTTTCCTTTTGTGTTGGCGTCGTGCTCCCGTCTTCCTCTCCTTTGCTCTCATAACGTGCGATGACGCGGATAACGCAGACGACAAACGCCCAAGTAGCCTGCCCGAGCATTGTGTGGTGTGGTAGTGCACCTTTGGGGGGCATGCATCTCTCCATGCTGCCCGCATAATGCTGTTGGGCGCAGTGGCCCGTGGAGGCACGCGCGACCAGCCCCCCC